AAGGAGTCAGTTCACTGACTTAACAGAACTTAACTGGAGCTCGACTCCAGTTCCCAGTTGCGTTGCCAGTTCCGCCCGTCAGATCCAGTGTGGGAGGTCAGTGACCTCAGGGCATGAGGTTGGCGGTTAGCTGGGGAGCGGGCAGCGTGCAGGCCGTGTGTGGCCCCCATGCCAACCACGCGGGTCTGGAGAGGAAGGCGAGGACGCGGCTCCTGGACGCCTGCGGTTACTCGGCCCAGCCGGCCCTCCCGCGCTGCAGCTCTGCTGGAGGCTAACGCCGGCTGGGGCGGCGCAACAGGCAGAAATGTCCCTGTGAGAACGTCTCACTCTGCACCCGCAGAGAACCCCAGCGCTCTAGTGCTAAAAGGACCAAGTACTCCATGACTAACCCCAAGTAACCACCCCAAAGTCAAACAAAATGATCGAGTGAAAAAGTAAATGTTTCTTTTACCAAAGTGCTCAAAAACACTGCACCAAAGAGACAGTACTGTGAACATATCCTTACTGCCAGAAGTCATATGACATCCATTTACTGCATGAAAATACTCAAATTAATGTTCAAATCATCATAAAATTAGCTAAACATAAGCAAATTTATTCAGGGACTGTTGAGGTCCTCTTCAATCAATCCCACGTGTGAGGAGAAGGGTGTTCTGGGAACTGGACACCTGGCAGATGAATAACGCCACAGAATATGGCAGGATAACCAGAGAGTAGCAGCCAATGCTGAAAGCACTGGGCAAGATTAAAAACCACAGTAGCCAATCAGCAAGAGCAAACTCTGGAGCCAATCCACAAGAGAAGCAGTAAAATCTGCAACCAATCAGCAGCAGTCCGATACTGGAGTCAATCAGGGAAGAAAAACAACCATCAGTACTAGACTCAGCATCTCTGAACACTAAAAGTACTCACCACCAGTCATTTCAAAAGAGTTTTATAAATATATAAAAACTATAAAACCAACATTCAACCAGAACAGATATGTTGATAACAGCCCCCATTCTGTTATGAGCAGAGGAGCAAAGGCAGACACTGTTTATAGATCATTCATGCATGTGCTATTTTATTTGAAAGTAAAGAAAAAGTCATTATTTATGCTTCTTCAACAATTAACAAGATATTGTAAAGAAATGTTTTAATTATGTCTCAATAAAACTGAAAATCAGTGAATTATATGTTTATATTATCTTAAGACCTTAATCTCAGAGCGACTTTAAATGTTCAAGGTTGAGCTGCACTTAACTCACATCCCAGCCTCTGATAAAACCACAGCTGGAGAAGGAGCCAAGGGTTATGAGTGCTAACAGCTAGGCTCCAGCAAGCTACTGCCAGCAGACCCTTCCAGGGGGCTTTTATCACCCCTCCCTGAATGAAAGCACACGGTGACACCTCCCAGGCCTCGGCCCCATTGCTCTGAGGAACCCTTACGCCTGTCAGTACCTTGAGATTAAAACCTGTTTTCTCCACCCCCCCCTCCCACCCCCAGAGGAAGTTTTTCCCTTGTAAGGTAAAGGTGAAGAGGTCCGCGCCAGTGCTTTGTAGCAGACGAGCGCTGGACCTGAGCATTGTCAGCTACACGGAGATATGAAACACCTTCCTCTATTGAGCACGGCACTTCCGAAGCAGGAAGACTGCAACGGCATTTCCACACTTGCCAATCCCAAGTGCAGCGTTAAACGCGGTTTACGAGATTAATTTAATCTGGTTGAAGCTTACTTTAAACACAGAGCGGTCAAAGCGGTTCTGTTCTCCGTTCCTGGGGCTCAAACGAGGGCATTAGGTTTCCCCAACGGTGGAAACGGTAACATTTGAAAACCTGAGGTTTTAACACTGGCTCTAACAAAGGCACAGCATCAGACATCGACTCAGTAGAGTCTCCTGCATTTAACCGTCAATGGCTTTAAAGACTGTAAAATAAATAAAGTCAACTTTCATCAGGACTTAACGCGTAGGTTTGCGCTGGCCCCCCTCCCTTGCGGAGCTAAAGAACAGCCAGATGGCGCGTCGACGTCACGGCGCGGACCCGACCACAGACACCACAAGAACGACAGGAACCGAAACTATTCACCAAGGTGGACCATGCAGGCCTTCAAACCGCATGTGAACCGGCCAAGGAGAACTACAGCAGACTACAGAGAGACGTCTTCTTCCCACCTAGAGTTCAGCCCAGAGAACACACCATCGCGTGGGTGTATATACATTTACATAAACCTTTTTCCCTGACCTGCCCTTATTCAGCCCAGATGGTGCCAATGTCTCTCAATGCTGCCTTTCTGCACTGTTTCAGGGCATGAGGGGGCAGGCCAATAGGAAGGCCTGACCTCACTCCACAAGAGACCCGTTTAACAGTCTGGCGGCGGAGGCAGGGCAGCCGAAGGTATCTTGGCGCGGCCATAATGACCTGGAAAACACCGGCACTCGAGGGGGCGGGCCGGCCAGATGCTAGAGTCACTAGAACGCTACCGTTCTCAGCAGAAGTGGCCTTTTTACGAGTCCAGTTTCATAGTTCGGCCAATGGCACCCTGGGAGATGGTGGGGGGCGGGAGAGCCCGGTGCCCCTGATGCGTGCTGCCTGGAGGCACGGGTGCGAGAGGCCGGCTGGTTTGGTGCTGAGCGGTACAGAGAGAGGAGAAACGGGAACGGCACAGGGGCAGCAGTGACGAACGGGAACGGCACAGGGGCAGCAGTGACGAACGGGAACGGCA